TACAATTTTAGATGTGTAGGTTTATGTTCTTGATATAAAATTTCAGAAATATTACTCTCTTTGAACTATACTTTTAAAATTTTTTTAGAAGTACATGTTCAAAAAATAAAGTATATACTTTTAAGATTGAGCACAATTTTAAAGTTATATTTAATCTCAAGACAAAAAAAAAAAAATTTCTCTCTCATTTACATGCACACACATATATGGGCAGTTGTGAAGCACTTTGCAGGTGAAGTTTGGGCAGCAGCAGCAGGTGGTTTTGTGGGGGGTGGGCAAAGGCCTAGGAACGAAGAAGATCTCATGCAATTTCTTGTTTTGTTCATTTTGTATGTATTGGCTTTATATTTTATTTTCTTGGTCCGCGTTTGCATCAACATGAACATGAATTTTCTATGTCAACTATTGAATAATATAGCCATAAATAAAAAAAAAAAAGTTGAAGGAGTAAATTAAAAATAAAAAAAAGTAAAAAGAACAAAATAAACATTCAAATAAAATACACGAAACATGTAATACCCCAAAATTTTGGGTATTATTAGAATTTTGAAATTTTTGGAAAGGGTCCAATTGAAAAAAATAGGAAGTACAAGGGAGTCAAATTAGAATAATAAAGGATTAAATTGCACTAAATAAGATATTTGTAGACCAAATTGCAGTAAATTAGAAATTAGATTTCTAATTATCTGCTACCCAAATCCCGAGGCTTAAGTTGCAAAATCTGAGCAGATCTGATGAGATCGACTCAAAATCTAGATATATATATATGTGTGTGTGTTCAAAAACAACAAATTGAGAAAAATCTCAAGTAATTTCTTAAATATTTCTCTCAAATCTCAAGAATTTTCCCTTTATTATTCGCCATAGCAGATGGAGCACGAGTCTAAAATCAAGCTTCGATGGTCACTGGTTGATCGGTTAAACTTCGGTGCTACCATCACAGAAGGCCACTCTCACCATTTAGGTTGTCGTTCTTCTAATATCTACTTAGATCATAGATCAATTTCGGCCATCTCTCAAGTACACAATTCTTAAAATAATCCAGGTATGCGGGTTAAAGAGAAAGACTCGGAAGGAGTCTGGGTCTAGATTAAAGGTTTGGATTGGGGCTATTGGGCTTGGGGAGTTAGGCCTTGGTTGGAGATTTTTTTTTTAAACGGGCTTGGGTCCTATTGGGCCAAGGGTTAGTTGTATTAGACATGAACCAGGTTATCCGTTCGAGCTTGGGTACCAAAATAACAAAGCCGGATCCTGGATTCGAATTAGAGAAATTAATAAAATAAATAAACAACGCAATAAATGAAAAACTAGCCGGTTCAGGGGAATATGACTGTGGTTCACTTCCAGTTCAAAGCACAGTAGATTAAGTTAATACTTAAACCAACTGGTTTAAGGCTAGTTTAGGGAAAGTACAGTTGTTTTAAACTCGGTTCAGAGGATTTTAGGTCGGTTTGTGAGTAAACTAGGCCAGTTCAGTATATAAAAGGGCTGGTTTAGTGAATTTCAAAGCCGATTCAGTGATTTAAGGACTAATTTATGGCTGGTTCATAACTGGTTTAGTACTTTAATTGGTAATTTTAGGTTTCAACAAACTAGTTTAATGTTTTAGTAGACTGGTTCATGATTTTAGTACTTGGTTTATGACTTATTTGAGTTCGGGACTTTAGTAGCCTTAATATGGGTTCTAGCACAAAAATCTAGAGTTTTTATTGGGTTCTTGATTTGAGAATTTCATTTATTGGATTCTTAGATATATTAGAAGTATAAATTGAGATATTTTTTTATTATTATATGATTTTAGATTGTTCGTACGATTCTTGTTGAGCTCATGTTGTTGAAGATTAAATTTATCAGTTTTTGTCATTTTTGCAAGTAATAATATGTATTTATGAGCATTTACTATTTTTTATATCTGTTATAAACTTTGATTTTATATAAGATATTTGAATTCTGAAAATTTAATTAAATTCTGTTTTAAAGGTATAACAACAGACATGTATGTAAATTTCTGAAATTATTTGGAATAACTATCTGTTATTTACATTTAATTTAGTTTATATATATGAATGGAAAGGTTCTATTAAACTATTATATTATTTTTGAAAAACTATTTTTAAGGGAGTTTCGGATTTGAGAATACTGCAACTAACGACAGTATGTGTTAGCCTAGGTACCTTGACTTGCATATCTATATATTGGCAAACTAAGGTGTCGCCATTCCGTTTTATGGTAGATTGGGTGTCGTCATTTTGTTGTATGACAAATTAAGTGTCGTCGTTCTGTTATCCAGCAAACTATAAATCGCCAATCTAATTTCTGATATTTGTGACTTCCCGATTTTGAATTCCCTAAATTATGAATATTTGTTAAAAATCTGTTTTTAGTGAATTACATGTTATATCTGTATACATGTCCTTTTGTTTTCATAAATATATATTATTATTCACTAAATTTATAGAGTCACCTTTATATTTTTTTTCAGATTCTGATTTCGTTGATCTGATGGATCTTATTACCTGAAATGAGTCTATACTATACTGCTGTCTTTTATTTTGGATTTTTGAAAATTAGTTATTTAATTCCTGTTAGACTTTGTGTTATTGGGATTTTAGAATGCTCCATTTGATTACAAATATGTTTTATATTATGAGTTAACATATTAGTTATTATTATTTGAATTATATTTTGTTCCATATTAGATTATTAGTTTAGTTAAATTTCGTATTTTCTATTAGATTTGGGAGTTGTGATTTATTCTAATTTTAGCGCCAGTTACGAGTCCGATTTCTAAGTCATGACAAAACATTGATGTACTTTATCCAAAAATATTTATGGTGGAGGGTTTATTTTTAGTAAAGATATTGTTGTATATAATATAGAACACTAGGTAATTATTAACCAAGATGGGTAAGCATCTCGGCTTAACCTCATAAATTTTTCCTTTGAATACCATATTTTTCTTACTCTATTAGATTACTTTTTTGGAGTTAGAAAAAGTATATATGTTTAGAAATGTTAAGGGCAATAATTATTTTACACCCTTAAACTTTATTCTTTGTTTTATTTACCTCCTAAAATGTATAGTATACCATTTATTCCTCTAGTACGTTAACACCGTCAATTTGCCATTAAATACTATTAAATCAAATAAAAAGGGTAAAAAGAAGAATAGGATTTAATGAGATTTTAAATATCTAAGATCAATTATTAAAAAATTTTGATATTCCTTGTTGATGTTCTAGTAATTTATATTATTTTTATTACATTTATAAAAATTTTTATTGAGAAATTTAGTCCATACAGTTATCAACTATTATATTTTAATCGTAATATTTATTTTAATCTATGTATGATAAAATTTAATTTTTTGATATTATTATATAGTAAATAGAAAATGCAAATAGTTTAAATTTCAAATTACGTTACTTGAATAATTTCTACTAAGTTCAAATTATTTATTTATTATTTAATTGTGTTATGTAAATAGTATAAATTAATTTTATATTAATTTAATATCTAAAGTTACATATATTTAATAATATTTATTATCAATTATAATATATTTATTTAAATTTTTTAAATTTTAACAATTAACTATTTAATAGTAATATTTTAAAAAATTTAGTATTTGAGATTTTATAATTTAGGGGTTAAATATAATGGCAAGTTAGCAATATTAATGTTTAGAGCATAACTGTTATTTTATATATTTTAAGGGTTAGATAAGACAGAAAAAAGTTTAAGAGGATAAAATGATTTTTGCCCAAATATTAATTTTTAAATTTAAAGATGGTATGTTTAATGGCGTATCTTCTTTATTTCAAATTGTTGTCAATTTATTGAAAATTAATAGAACTTATGAGAACTTTCATAATTTTTTAAAAACTTAATGGTATTATTATAATATATTAATTAATGCATTATTTTTAATTATAGATTAATTCTTAAATTAATATGAAATTTATAATTAACAAATTTTGATACTACCATTACATACTAATTTATCCATTCCGTGTTGAAAGTAAGGGTATAATGTGCGCACTTAAATCATCAATTATCTAGTTTAGTTTTATGGGTTGGGTTACTCAAAGTTGAAATCCTAATTTAAAGGTCAAAAAAGTAATTTTCTAATAAAATGGGGGTAATAGCCTCTAGAAGAAATCTTTCAAAAATTTATATTTTCATATATGCAGATATAGATATAAATATAGAAATAAAATTTTCATTTTTCTCTTAAATGGAATGCTTTTTTTTTTTATTTTTTTTTTTAACTTTTATGCGCAGGGTCATTTCTGTCTTTTAGTGAGAGGCTTTTCTTTTGTTGCATTCAAAAGCTAAGCAAATGGTCACAATTCAGTTGGGCTCCAATTATTTTTTTTGCCCATGGTCGTAGCCCAATATTTTTAAATTGTTTAGTTATTTAATGTCAGCCCGGTCGAAAACAGTTTTTTGAATTGGATTTGATCAGCCCGGTAACGGTCCAAATCCATTTCCAAATCAGATCTTACCAGCCCAATTAAAGCGTGTATGAGAAGGAAGAGTTGGAGAAGCAATCGGCTGTCGTCCTCGTCATCGTTGATCGTCTATCGCCATGTCCACCCCGATCGGAATGAAGGCAATTCTAGCCTAGAATCACTCATAGCTTAGCTGGTATTGATTTTCTAAACTCGATCATCTCGTATTTCGTTTATTAATAAAACGCTTGATCATAATTTACGATTTCTGTTGTGCCCTAATAGAGTATGTGGTGCAATTGAATTGCGTTCCTTGTACTTCTTATCAGATAAGGTTTGATCCCTAGAACTGAGATTTTTGTACATATGAATATGAAAGCCTGTAGGACAGCAATAAAATGACCGATCTGTGCATAATTACCCAATATAATTAAACTTGTGAGCTGGGTGTTATCAATGTTTCAGCGTTTTACATTTCAATTTTCTGTTCTGTAATGAAGGTGGCTTGTTTGTCCTTAACTGGTTGAAGCTTACTCAAGAGTTGAGATGACGAATGTAATGGAATCTGTTTTGGAGTTAGCAAATGCTACGGTAGATTGGGTAACATTGGCATTTAATGCTCCTTTTGCTCGAGCTGTCGTTTTTGGAGTGCACATTGGTGGTATGCTATTAATTCTTAAAATCAGATGATATATCATGCGCTCTGTGTCTCCGAGTGATGGTTCATTGCGTCTCTCTGAAACCTGATTTTCCCCCCTTTCTTTTTTCTGCTTTGGCTGAAGGGCATCTGTTTGTGGAGGGTCTTCTTCTAGTGGTTATTCTCTTCCTACTTTCTCAGAAAAGTTATAAGCCTCCTAAACGGCCTTTAACAAAGAAGGTACATGGTGTTATAATTTTTGTATCGGCTTATTTTGTTTTATTGAATTAATGGTTAAACTACTTTGTGGTTTCTTCTCTGTCTTGTTTCATTCAAAACCTTGTCTGGACCTTTCTCCCATTATAATAAGTTGCTTCAGTTAAATGTTCTTATTTCTTGATCTTTAGTTTGAATAGAAAAGAATGCATATGCCTACAGTTTGTAGTTTCATTAGGAAAATGTGAAGAGCTTACTTTGTGGTGAATATTAATAGTATGTTAAATTCATTTGCATACACATGTTTGATTTTTTATTACAATAAATGGTCTCTGTCTTCCTCATTCAATATAATAGTTGTATTGGTTATTGGATTTAGTTCCCTCCAGAAAGCAAAAGGTGAAAATATAGCTTATAAGACAAATTCAAATGAAGCCTTAGATTGCTATAGCTTTAGCAGGAGGTGGTGGTCATGCATAATTAGCAGGAAGAAGAGTAGCTAGAATGGAAAAGGAAGAAGCAAAAACTAAGAAATAGTTGTTTAGTTCCATGTTCTATATATGCATAGAGCATATAAACGTCACACATATAAATAAACTCCTTGATTTTGACTCATAACATACTTCCAGCTGAAAAAAATGTAAACAGATACTTATTACTGAAACTTATATTCTTAAATGACAAAGAAGAAGCCATGCACTCAACATGAATTGTCTAACCATCTGCACTCCAAATAATATAATAGTAGTAGTAATAATGACAAATTAAAAATGCATAGTTGGTCCAGTGGATGTTGTCAAATAAAATTCTGTGTTATGACTTGAGCTGTTTTATTGCAGTGTAGGAGTTGGGAAACCTATGTATTATATCTACCTTCAAGATAGAAAGGTTGGTCAATGGTGTTAAATGAGCTACTGCAGAATGTGTTAAACCATTTATCCCAGCTTGTTATTCACTTTTTGGCACATAGTTGTCTGATGTTACCTGATGCTTAATAATGTTTAGGGATTATTTGTAGCCTTAGGAAGTGCATGGAAAATTCATATTATGCACTGCAAATGGAGACGTTATCAGGGAAAGATGGAAGAGTTATATGTTCTGAAGCACTGAGAATATGTATAGTGTTTTATTTTAAAGCATCTTTATTGATTGGAATTACTTTAGCTTAAAGTTAGTGAGATTAAAAATAGATCTGGTCAAGAGTTAAGGTGGAATCATCTAAATGCTTGGCTAATCAACTATGGTAGCCTAGGAGCTTAGAGGGAGGAGGTAGCATAGGCATGTGCTTGAGCAATGAATGTGCCCATCTAATATATAGTTAATTATGTGAAAAAATAAATTATTAAACTCGGTAATCAAAAATTTAGAATACAATAGTATTAATTTATATAGCCAATTACTTCGATAGATTGTTATGCTAATGCACAATGTGTATGTTCTTACTGTGCATGGGTCATTGAAATTTATTATAACTTTGTATGATAGTTTGTAAAACAAGGAGCCAAAAGAATCACTGAATACAGTCAATTGAAGCACAATATTTATGCTGTCAATTTTCTACTGTTATGATCTACCCAGTTCATGTTTTGGCTATGACAATTGTGTTGGTAGAAACACACTCGACAATTATATATCAAAGCTTCATAATTTTGAAGCAATTATCTGAATCCTGGAATGACATACTCAAGGCTCCAATTGAGAGGGGCTGTAAGAAGCATTTAGCTAAATGCTTTTTGGATGTAATCAAATTTTATTGGATAAAAAATTGGATTGGCCATCTAAATTTTATCTTGCTGAAAAAGCTAAAAGCAGCAAGTTGAGGTAAGAACCACTGCCAAATGAAGCTAATGGATAAAATGATTGCTCCCATCAAGTATCAATTATGGGTGATATTCTCACAACTTTTCCCAGGCAGACTGTGGGCACCTTGCCATGCCCACTGGCACCCAAGGCAGTCCATGGCGTTGGTTTGGTGAGACCCGGAAGAAGCCCACATTGAGTGCCCAGCCTATGACCAAGTGATGCCCACGATCTTGGGTGAAAGCCCAAGAGAAAAAAATTTTCCAGCCACCAGCCTTCGTCGCTGCTGTGGTCGCCGTGCCACCGCCCCCTGCGCCCTAGGCATGCCTGTGGGCACATTGCCATGCTTGAAATTGTTAGTGTCTTTCTTGCTTTGTCCTCTTCTTTGATAAATAACAAAATTCTTAAGCATGACGTGGCATGCTATAAAGTCATAACAGGTGATGGATATACTTGCCTCAGCGCTCTTTTCTGCCTGGAATCTTAGGTTAAATGGGTGCTTGAATGACAGTTTCTTGGCTGGAATGTCATTCCCTGATAGGCTATCCCTCTTGTAGGGGCCCAAGGTAACTGTGTGTTTGTTCTTGACAACCCCTCTTCGTACAATCCCAAGACTAAACTTTTCTACTTTCAAAACCTTCACATATCTTCGTATAAGCATATTCCAAGGATATTATGTAAAAAACTAACAAGACATGCCCATTAGATAGAAAAAATTATTGGATTTGCAATTTAAGATTGATGGATCATCCTAGTTGGGAATGTGAGATGATTTTGAGCAGAATGGAGGAATGAGATTCTTATAGTTGGACTCCAAGTAGTTGAAAGACTAGTTTTGTCCAAGGGCTAAGGTAAGACTGATGCAGCAATCAAAGATTAAAACATTAATTATTGGCCCTTTTGATTTAGGTTTTTAGATATTTCAAGAAGTAAGAACTTCGAAAGGCATATTAGAACCAGAACAATTATCTAACATGTCATTTTGTATTTTCTATAAACCAAGATCAAGGCTCTAAAACAGTATTATTAAGAATTCATTTGGTTTCAAAACATGGATTTTCATGAAGGAAAATTTACAACAGTTATGATGGCTTAAGAGACAACTAAAATAATTGAAATTAAGGCACACTTCTCATGTTCAGACCAATTGGTTATGCAAGGGTGCTCCCAAGCCACAAGGCTCCTTACTTTCCAAGTAGGGGGACGGTCTTCTAAGGCACACAATGTTACCCTTGCTTCCCAGGATTGATCCTGTGATTAGAAACCTAGCCTTCTGATCAAAGATGAGCGACCTTACCTTGATTGAAGGCTCACCTAAAGCAATATATTATAATGCCATTTGGCAATAAATAAATGATTTATTATATAGGACAACTTGAAAGGATTCATTGGGGGAGGCTGGTTGAAGGGAAGAACTTTATAATGGGGTCAATCTTTAAAGGTGCAAAAGGGAGCCATTTAGGTGCAAGTTGCCTTAAGGCACAATCTTGATGCCTCGTCCTGGTCTAGATAAGGTGCCTTTCCTTCAGGTACACACCTCAACTGTAAAATCCAAAGGTGTGAACCCTTATTCAGGTGCATTTGGATAAAATCAAACTAAAAGCCTAAGTTTTAAATACTTGAAGATATGAGAGGACGGGTATTGGCTGTTAAGTGCTTTGACAATGGCTATTTAAGCCTTGAAACCCATGGTTGGGGTTCTTCAACCATTGACTTGTTTCTACGAGTGAGTTTGTGAATTTGTCTTCTTCAATTTGAGACTGACTTTTAGCTTCATACTAAATCATGCTCTTCAACGTCGACCAGACCACTAGCCAATGACTTGGACTTATTCAACTAGGTCCAGATCACTTAGTGACTTTGATTGCTGCCAAGGACTTAGACTTCAACTTATGTTTTTCTCCCCGCACCCCAAATTTCAATAATCTGACTTACATTTTACTTCCCTTGTCCCAACTTTTATTCTTTTAATAATGTTCCCCAAATAATTTGATTTTCTAAGGAAGTCCAAATAATTGATTTTGTTTCAGTATTGTTTATATAACTTTAATTTAATTTCCCAACATTTTTCTTAATGAGAATAACATACTTTTTAACTAAATAATCCTCTACATTATTTAATTTGACATGTTTTGATGTTTTCCACAATGTAGTTTGGACTTTGAATGTATTTTGTTTGCTAATTATATGTTTGTCTTGCATATTTGACATATTTGGAAGTTTGAGTACTATATACAGTCTCATGATAAGAAAAACAGTGGGCAATAGCCTAGTAATTATCTAATGTGTGCCTTACTTCCTAAAGGTGTGCCCCTTACCTTTCGCCTTGCACCTAGGCTCCAAGTGACCTTTATGTCTTGATGCACATGGAGCCTTTAACAACATTGAACAGGGTATGAGCTCTCATGTTTGCATGCACACGTGTGTGTGATTTTGGAGCAAAAGAAAGTGCTGTGTGTCAATTCTATGGTCAAGAGAGACAAATCTACAACTAAAAGGGCTTTAGGATACACTCAGTTCATAACGAAAAACTACAAGGAGTATGGTAGATCATTGAGCTTGTAGCTAGACTAAGAAAAGTTTAGACATCCAAAATGCATAGTAAGGTGCTTGAAGAAAAGTGGAAGAGCTCACAGCCAGTCAGAAGTTAAAAACACAAGTTTGAGAGTCTAATAATGACTCTTCAACAATGTTTGAAGATAAAAAAATATGCATTCTTAAAAAAATTGGAAATAAGGTGATGAATGCCTAATATAAGCTCCATGAACTTGTATTTGAAGACAGCCCCTACTGCCTACCGACTGCTTAAGGGACTAGTACTTTTAGCTTAATAGGGTTTAGATGCAGCACAAGCTGTGAGACTGTAGGTGCAAACTGCCACCAAATATCCTCATGCTGATTGTGTATACAACTAAAGAATATAACTTCTCCTTATATACTTTATGACCAGCAAAATACAACCCTACTTCTCTTTAAAGTAAATGACCTTTTAGTCCCTTTTTTCATTTCCCCCCTCTTTTCTCTATCTTCTTTTCTTCTTTTCAGATTCCTTCTTTCTGTCTATAAAGTGGGTTTAGAGAGAGACACATTACATAGAGAGAAAGGCTTCTCTCTCTAAGCCCACTACTTTGCTTTCTAAACCCGGCAGCAGTTTTACAAAGAGGGGGAGATTAAAGAAAGAGGGAATGAATGGGGTGGTGGTGGTGGTAGTAGTAGAAGAAGACAATGGTGGTGGCGGAAATGGAAAAATATGGCAAGAGAGGCATGGGCAGTGGAGGAGAATGACAGGGGGTGTCAGTGGTGGTGGCATTGGAGGAGATTTGGATTTGATCTCATCTCTCCTCGCTCTCTCTCTCTCTCTCTTATATATCTCCGTCTTTCTCTGTTCTCCTCTCTCTTATCGATCTGATTTCCTCTCTTTGATAGACATGGAGGTGGTGGTGGTGGAGGAGATTCAAATCTGTCTTCAATCTCTCCCTTTTTCTCTATTTGTCTCTTTGTAAATCTAGCAAGGAGAGCAGAGCTGTGAAGTTGAGTAAGATGATGGTCTTAGAGGAGGAGCATGGTGATGGAGACAGTGGAGGTCGTCGCTGCCGGTGGTGGAGAAGAATGGAAATGGGGTTTGCAGTGGAGAGAGAAGAAAAAACATTAGCAAACAAAATGTATTTTTTTTACATACATTTTTTATAATTTGGTGTGCATTATTTCACAAAAGGATGTATGAAAATAATTTGTACATTAACTAGCCAAATGTGACTAAAATTATAACTCTCCAAGAATTTTTATAAATTATAATTTTTCTTGAAATTTCTATCTATCACGTGGAGCATAGAATGAAGGCAAAGGTTGCATTAGACTAGAAAGGTAATAGAGGATTCATGTAGTTGGGAAAATACTTAGTTGAGTTGGCTGTGAAAGTAAAGAAAAGATAAAGAAACCATTAGGCTTGAATATTTCATGTAAAATAAATTACATCAGTGGTACACACACACGCGCGCGCACACACATTAAATAATAAGATCCTAAGTACCATATTATCTGATGTGGGACTAACTAAAGGCTAAAGAATAAGAATAAATATTAACCTAACTATCTATTAGCCTGACTATTCTAACACTTCTTCTCAAGTTGGAGCATATAAGTCACATGCACCAAGCTTGTTACAAAGAAAGATCATTTGAGGGATTTAGTAAAGATGTCTGCTAGTTGGTCAGTGGAGTTGACGAAACTAGCAGCAATGGATCCAGACAAAATCTTCTCTTTGACAAAATGACAATCAACTTCTATGTGTTTGTTCCTCTCATGGAAAATAAATAAGGTTGGAGGCAATATGTATGGCAGCTTGGTCATCACAAATTAACTCCATTTGCCCAACCTCTCCAAACTTCAATTCTTGAAGTAGCTGCTTCAACCAGATAAGCTCACAAGTAGCCAAGGCCATTGCATGATACTAAACTTCAGCTCTTGACCTAGCAACAGCATTCTTTTTTTTTTTTTTTTTTTTTTTTTTTTTTTTTTTTTTTTTCTCTAGGATACCAGAGATGTGATTGGAAGCACTAGAGTCTAGAACTCATGGTCCAAGTCTAGAAGACCCAGTAAGGCAAGCCATAGAGTTACCAATATGAGCAAAAGAAGCAGAAGGTTGCTGAACAGCCTTATATCGGAGGTAGTCCTCGTAATCTGATGCAATCATAATGATAGATGGGGATTGTCCCTCTAAAAAAGCAGGCCTGAAGTTAGAAGTAATTGTAGGATTGGGAGTAATGTCAAAAAAAAAAGTACCAGATTTTGAGCTTGAAGATGACATGACGGAGAACTCAGAACTCATAAGCTAACTCAATCCAAAGAGCCCAAACAAGCCGAATTTCAAAGTCTAACAAACCAAACAAGCGAATTCCTACAATCTTCATGTGGTACCATTGGGATGTTGTGATCTGCGTTCTTAGGTACATTAAAGGACATAGGGCCAAGGATTTTTGTATAAAGATAGGGAACATACGTAGGTGATTGGGTATTCTATTGCAGATTGGACTAGTTCTCCTTCAGATATTCACTTTGATACCATTTGAAAGTAGAGAGAAGAGAAGGAAACCCTTAGGCTTGAATATTTCATGTAAAATAAATTACATTAGTGATACATATATATACGTTAATAATAACATACTAACTACCATATTATTTGATGAGGGACTAACTAAAGACTAAATAATAGGAATAACTATTAACTTAACTATTTTAACATTGACTATTCTAAATAATTTTGGAAATATTATCTAATTCTTTTTGTTGAACTCAAGAACCCATTATCAACTTATTTTGCCTTTGGCAGTGAACCAGACAACTATTAGCTAACAAATTTAAAAGAGAGTAACCTAAATAGATTAAAAAAAAAAAAAACTCTGTAATTACTGTGGTGATATGATCAATATCATCTTGCTATAAACAATCCCCAGAATAGAAACTTGCTGTATCATCATGGATTTTCCACAAATTAAACACTAAGTATAAATTAGAAGTCCAGAAAGTACGGCTTGGGTGGTGCAACTAAAAGGGCTCGAATGATTGTTTCTTTCTATTTGTTATCTTAGTTTATTTTCTTTTGCTGAAGAAACCAGAAATTTTTACAATTAAGCCCTAATAATTGTCCATGCCAGAAACAACAGACCTCCAATTGTCTGACATTAAGGGTTTAGTGATGAAGCCATGTAATGCTAACAAAACATGAACAACTTAAATGGATAGTTTTGGGCTTTTATTCTGTTTGGCATTAGACTTTCTACCTATATTGAAGGATTCTATAGTGAGTGCATCTCTATAGGCGGGCTAGAGCAACAGCACTCTTGAAGTGGAAACTTTTCCTTAGTTTTTCGAAGTGTTGTTGTTTAGTGGTCAAATACTGCATGGCAGAAAATTTTACAAGTTCAATTATTCATTTACGCACATTGCTTTTATTGATATTTTTAAATGTGTTCTTGTTAGTTTTGTTGGTTTTGAGCTGTTCTTAGGTTTACAGTCAGGGAGTATATAGTTGTTGTATCACTTCTGTTCTTATATTTCAAAATTGCAGAATTCAATATATAATATACCCTTTTTCTAGTGTACTAGCTATTATACAAAAGCCAATTCAATCTGACATTTTTGGTGCATTTCTTGAATTTTTCTAGGAAATAGATGAACTATGTGATGAATGGGTTCCCGAATCCCTTATTCCTCCAATTACAGAAGAGATGAAAAGCGAACCTCCAGTGTTGGAAAGGTAATACTAGCTTTTCTTCTTTGGTTGTTATGTAGGTATCTGTCTAGTTGTTGAGACTTTGAGTTCTCTCTGGAGATTCTAGAAGTAATAATGCTTATCAAACATTATGTTTCTCATTCCATTTTATGTTTAAACCAAATGTCATTCAAACCTCTCTATGTTTTCTTTTATATAATTGCCATTATACTAATTACTTTTTAGTTCCTAATACATAGCTTATTGCTTTCTATTCCATTACCATCAGGTCTCTCATCTTTTTATGTTGGAAAATCATTGATATGTTGGCTCAGTCTTTCTCATGTTATATATTCCTTTGTTTTGAATAGAGCCATTTATCACTTCTGCCTCTGGACAGGGGCCAGATTTTTCCCCCAATAGGAGGTGGTGGTCATGGAGAATTGGGGGAGTGGGGGAAGGGTGAGATAGTGTTGTATTTGCATAGTTTTTTTAGCCCGTCTTCTGTGGTTTAGAGATTCTTTATTACCATGAAAATATATCTATATATGTGGGCTTGTTAACTTTCTTAATTGAGATATTTAAATTTCTTAAGCACATATCAAAGAGATTTGCCACTATTGCTTGACATACCCACTAACAAATGCATCTTATGCAGTGCTGCAGGGCCACATACAGTAATCAATGGCAAAGAAGTTGTGAACTTTGCTTCAGCAAATTATCTTGGACTTTTAGGACATGAGAAATTACTTGTGAGAAGAATCCACAGCTACAGCTAATTTTTCTATTTTGTAATATTTTTTTCTTTCTTTCTTACCTTTTCTTTGTTTTAGCAATTGATGCTTAAACTTTGTGGTACAGGAGTCCTGCACGTCTTCACTGGAGAAATATGGTGTTGGTTCTTGTGGTCCTCGTGGATTTTATGGAACAATTGGTACAACTTCAGAACTGCTCATAACCATCAAAGAAACTGAATATTTTTTGCATTAGACTTTTTATACATCTAATAATACTATTTTTGCATAGATGTGCACCTTGATTGCGAGGCCAGAATAGCTAAATTCTTGGGAACTCCTGATTCTATTCTATATTCTTATGGCCTTTCCACCATGTTCAGTGCCATTCCAGCTTTTTGTAAGAAGGGGGACATCATTGTTGTGTGAGTACTTGACTTGACTGCTTTGTCATTGATTTTTATTTGCTATTGCCTAGCTCTTAGAAATGTTTAGGAAATTTTTTTTTCTACCAAGGTAATTAGCTTCAAGTATGCATCCCATGTTTTGTAACTCCTAAACAACGGTTGATGTTGCCTTATTGTCTGTGAGTTTAATATGTAACTAATTTGGTTCATTTCATGGTTGTTATGTAACAACATGATACGTCTTTTATTGCTTTGGCATCTCTCATGGATTAAAAACAAAGAAAAAGGTTAAAAAAAAATGTGCAAGGCTAACTTGTCTTAATGATGTTATTTTGCTCTCCTTTGCCGATCTTCTCCTTCTTGGATTCTTGACATTTTGCCTTCTGACTTGGAAAAGGCTCAACTTCACTGATTTAGGAACACATTTGCCGATCTTCTCCTTCTTGGTTTCTTGACATTTTGCCTTCTGACTTGGAAAAGGCTCAACTTCGCTGATTTAGGAACACATTTGAAAATAACATGACAAAACTGCTTCAGATGAAGTGGTCATTTCTTCAACTTAAGTGTCTTCTAGTCAACAGGACAACTGAGTTTTTATTTCTTCGTACTCTTTATAAAAGAATAAATGTTGGCATACCTGACAATTACTTACATCTTGATCCAAAGCCTGTATTCTTTTAAAGAGAATGGTGTGATCGAGTTTGAATGGAAAAAAGGGAAAAGAAAATGTATGATTGTCTAATTGAAGCTACCAATCATGAGTATAACTGGATTATGACTTTCAAATTCTTGCTGGTCATCCCAGCCTCATGATATGGCTTTGGCCTGGTCTACTGGCATGCTAGCGTTTTCTCACATTAGTGGTTCTTCTACTTTTTTTAGCTGGTTAATATATTTGTATCCTGTTAATGCATCTTTGTCTAAAAAATTTTTTAGCTTTGATAAATCTCTTCAATGCTGTTATAATTTTGCTTACATGTTATGCAAGAATGATACCATGTGTCTTCAAGGTTTTGACAATTTCGAAGATATTGTTTACAGGGTTAAGGTCTCTTCTTTTATTGGTTGGTCTCTAGCATTTATAGGTGAATCTCATCAATACCCTTATTCGTCTCTTTCGGAGTTTCTATATACAACAGTGATGAATTTAGAAGGTGATTGAGGATATATAGAACGAAATCCTTGGATAATAGGCCACCTCATTATAGAATTGGAGGCATAAGGCTTGACATTGGTTCACGAGTTTAACTTTCATCCGCAAAAATCTGTTCATTCTGGGCAAAATCCTCTATCAGTGGTTGTATGTGGGTTCTCTACTTTATTTATTCCTTCATCTTATAGGCAACCTATCCAACGTATTGTATAGCTGATTTGCTGCTAAACCACAAGAAAAGAGTGGATTAAAACCCGTGTTATATAAAATAATCGCAGAGTTTGTTTTGCAGACATTCTAGTTTGGTGGCTTAAGTTGTAGAAATTTTATGCTATTGTACACTTGAAGTTCCACCTGTTAGCTATTGATTTCTGCTGGGACTTGTTTCCTAGGAAACTGATGCCAAGTTTTGAACTGCTGCCTCTATTTCTTTTGAAACCATACGATTAGCATATGCTTCTTTGTCTGATATAGAAATCATCTCATGAAAACCTTCGTTCTTGGAAGTATGTTTTACTATTGGGAATTCAGAGGTAGTGGCATTAGTAAAGCTGAATAAGGACAGAGAGAATTTAAGGTAACACTCAATAATCTCAATATAATTAAAATATTCTTAAAATGCATCCATAGACAGAAACTTCTCAATGTAGGAGGGTATAAAAACAGATAAAGAAAACCATTGCTATCAGGATTCTAGAAAGCTTATTCAAACTATATAAGACTTCTAGAAATATAAAAGACTTCTAAATAATGAACTAATTAAATCAATTATCTAGTGTGCCCACACCTGTGGTACGCATGTAGGCCCTTGCCAATCTTGTTTACCTGTCCTGCATCTATTAGTGTTGGGATATTTGATTAATTTTATTGTTTACAATGGGATTCTTTCTTTTGTCTGGATAACACTTCCTCTTTCCTGATATTGAACATGTGTAAGCTTTCTGCGTTTCTGTTCAGATTGGTCTAGAACAATTACCCTAACCTATATTTGTGGTTCAATTATATTTCTCAGTTTTGTGTTTAGCATGCTTCTTTTGTTTCCTCCTAATAGTTGAGGATTTTAGCTGTTGGCCCTGTGCTTAACTGCTAGAGGGTATGATATGCAGGGAAAGATGGATGAAAACTTCAGTTTTGAACTCTTTATTTGTATCTTGTAGGATTTCTACCCAATAAGACTATTACTTGTAACCAACAAAGAATTCTTTATAAAACTGTCATTGACCTCTGCTGAAAGTTTAATCAGTCCCAACTACTGCTTCTAATTTGAGTTTGATTTGGCCTTTGTCACTATTTTGAGGAGGTTGTGAAGGGTTATTCAAAAATATTAGGCACGTGGTAATTGCAACCAATTTATTTGCTGCTTGACTTAAGGTTTTGGAAAAAATCAAGATAAGTTGTGTGGCTCCTGATAAAACATTATCAAATTGAGGGATGACATTACCAACTGTATGGTGATGATGCACATGGAAAGAGGAAAATATTACACTTGGAATTACTTATGGGAGAAACCTGGGTTTTATGAGTAATAATTCTTCCAAGAATAGAATAAGTTGTGAGGTCTTCCCATACTCTTCAATCTTCATCTCTTCTCATGCCCTACTTACTGGAAGTTTGTCTTGGGGTTTTTATTTGCAACTGCTACTTAGCTTAATCCCCCGACAATACATCCCGTGCTAAATCAACCCAACCCATTTTTCCAACATGGCAGCCCTTCTCTAGATTAGAGGGCCCTAATTGCTCACCTGCCAGGCTGACCTTCGGTTATAGCATTTCAACTAGATGTATTAACATTACTGAAAACCAAAGCCAATCTCACTTTGTTTTGAAGAAGAAATACTAACATTGCCTTTTGACCTTCCAAGACCCTATTGCTGGCAACGGTCCCAGACCACCTCAGTTCCAATCATATAGATGGTTTTAGTCTACCTGATCGGTTTAGCTTCTTTTAGGCTCATAAGCAACTTTGCCGTATGGTAGAATTATCAACTTTGCATATTTTTGCAGTTGATTTTTTTGAGCCTGTATTTCTTAAGCTGGCACATCACTTGGAGTGTGGGTGCTGGTTGCCTGCACCTAAATATTGTATTCATCTAACTTTAAAGTTGAAAAGACTAGGCCATGATTTGATGTCTTATTTATTTAGTAAAAATTAATTAAATATATCACATTTATGTTTTATTTTAATTTTTCAAAGAAGTTGGAGTTCACAAAAAGGGTAATAGGAGTTCATGCATTAAATGGGTGTTACTAATGAAGTGAATCCACCATGTCATATTTGTTAACTATGTATTCAAGTAGACATGTATAGTATGCATCCTATGCCACTACTTCAAATTTCAATTGTTTGAGATTGGTTCTTCAATAAATTTAAAACATTCATGCAATAGTGGTACAGATAGTAGTCTGTGGTCAAGGATAATTAAACTGTGATATTAATTAATTCACCACGATCAAATGGTAGCTTATTTGCTTTCTTTCTTTCTCTCTTTCTCTCTTCTTCTTCTTCTTCTTCTTCTTCTTTTATGTCGTGGTGTTTTCTGAGAATATGGCTTGTTTTTTATCATGGAAACCTCCATGCATATGCTGGGATGAAGGATCCATTATGTTATTTCTAAATTTTGGGGGGGCAAAATTTGACCATTTTTTGGTTCTCCTTTTAGGGGTCGTTCGGTAGGTTGGGTTTTGGATAAAGTGTCCTGACCACATAATGATCTGGATAATTATCTTGTTTGGTGAAGGTGGTGGAGGTGGCGGCTAAGGGCAGTAGTAAGAGTAGTATAGTCCAAAGCGGTTGGATAAGGGTCGGATAAAATTATCCTACCCCTCCCCCCAGTATAATTTATTCAGATTTGGTCTGATTATTATCCAACCTCTCTCCTGCCCAAACTTTATCCGACTTTCTCCTATCCTGTCTACCAAACATGGATAAGGGTGAATAAACTATCCTTATCCACCCTTATCTGGGCTACCAAACGAGGCCTAACAAAACAATGGTAATACATGGGAGATATGCATTGTTTTTAAAGCCTTGGGCTGTCATGACCGCCATCTAACCCCTTGGCTTTGTCCCAGAGCATATGTATGGTAACATGATTTGTTTTAGACATTTATACCTGTGTCTTGGTTTTGTCCTAGGTTAGCTTTATGAATCAGAATGTGCATGAATTTTAAGTTTAATCCTTTTCTTTTGTTTCTTTTACATTTTCTGCTAAGCTTATCCTACTTTTAGATGACTTTTTTTTCAGGGATGAGGGTGTCCACTGGGGAATACAAAATGGGCTTTATCTTTCAAGAAGTACCATTGTGTATTTCAAGCACAATGACATGGAATCCTTACAAAGTACTCTAAAGAAAGTCACTTTAGACAACAAGCGAGCTAAGAAGCTAAGGCGCTATATTGTGGTTGAGGCCATTTATCAGGTATCCTTTTGTAATTATTATTAATCTCCTGTTTTGACTATCCTATTCTGAAGCTTTCATCAAAGAAAGTTCAGGAAGAATTCTACACGCATATAGCAAAAATGAAGCCTTCTATATAAGGACAAATGCCTAGTTATGGGGGATGAATGTTGAGAGACTGTAGGATAAAGATTTATAAGGAGTCTATCCATTTTCAAGATTATTATATTAATTCAGTAATTATATCCTAGGAATCCTAAGTTTACGGAATGTTTGTGCTTGCTATTTGTGTTCGTTTTTGAAGTATGAATGTTATTTAGGTCATGGTCATGGGTTGAATGTACGGACTTCTCTCCTCTTTTTTGATAGTTGCTTCTTCCACTCATGGTCTTCTCTATATATTATTCTTTCTCCCTATCGCTCTTCTCGATTATCTGATTCTATTTTCTTTCCTCCAAGTCCTCTTTCTTGCATAAGCTGGTAGCACTGCTCAAAGTTCTTTGTATTCTATCCATTTGTTATTGCTTATCGTAACTCGTCATACCACTGTTAATCCATCACTATGCTCATCAGTGTTTATCCATTCATCATGGTTTGTTGCCTCCAACTTACCACCTAAGGTTTCATCCACCGCACCACCCCCCCCCCCCCCCAAGGGGAGGTGCCAAAAAAAAAAAAAGGAAAAAGGGAAAAGCTAATTTGAGCCCACATGCCCACAAATCTTCCTTGCAGTCAACTTAGCAGGTCAGCTACATCAGCAAAGTCAATACTGTGTCATTGGGCAAATGTGTCACATCACTTTGCATTGTGGCAAATCCAACTATTTTTGAAAGGCTGATTCCAAATTTGAGGCTCAATTTGTGAGGTTATATTTCTAAAGGCTAGACTTGCTAGAAATAGCATATAAATGAGTTTTCAACACACATTTTTAAGGCAACTCCTTTGGCTTGTTTTGCATATATGTAGGCCTTAAGGATTCATTTGTTACATTGGAAGCGTGCTTACAATGGAAAGTTTGCCAGTTATGGGCAAACTGATTGCATTTCTAGTATCAACGTATAGGAAAAATTGTAAGGTACTTAATTTCCAATTATGGTAAGGTGTTCTAAGTGATGCATGATAAAGGGTACTTGGAGGGAAGAGTAGGAGATAGAATTATAGGAAGGGAGGGGTAAGGGAGTAGAATTATGAGGTGCTTATCTTAATTTTGATCTTTTTCTCCTTCATCCCCATTTTGTTCCCTCTTCTGATTCTTTTCCTTTTATCTTACAATCTCTCCCTATTTTGCACTTCTTTGTGCCAAATAAGATGCTGGAAATGGTTATTGTCCCTTGTTAAATTGTTAACTACAATCTTATCTAAAAGTTTAAGCTTGTAAAGAGAGGAGTAACTTGATTATATACTACATAACACGCCCCTTCACATGTGGCCAGATTTTATAATCACAACATGGCCAACACGTGGAAGTTTTAAACTTTGCAGGCGGTGAGACTTGACCACAAGACCTTTGCTTGCTCTGATACTATGTTAAATTGTTAACTACCATCTCATCTAAAAGCTTAAGCTTGTAGAGAGGAGTAACTTGATTATGTATTACTTCACATCCTTTTTCCCTTTTTATTTGCCTGGAGCCACCCGTGACCGTCAATGTCTTAATATAATAAAAGACCACAAGATTCTTCTCTAGTCCTGAACAAAGCTTTAGAACTTTTTATCAATATTTTATAGAAAATGGAAAATTTATTTGCCTTCTCTTTTGAAGAGGTTACATGTCCTTGTTTGAGACCATTGCCTCCGTCTATTTTTTGATCAGTCAGAAATAGTGGATGGATAGATCGGGTCATAAAGAATGCATTACTAGCATGATTGGCCGGTAGAATCAGATCCTTTGTTGAAAATGCCAGTTTTGTATTCATGTCTTTCAATTAATCAATAGTATTTAATATCGATGTTGGTTTTGACTTTGTGAAACCATGTTTCCTTTGGAGGGGAAGTGTATTTAAATTGAGTGAACCATCATGGTTTATCATGCACATCACAAGAAGTGAAATGAGCAAAATTTGAAAGCAATACCCCATGACAATTATAGTCATGATGCAAGAGTTTCATGGCAATGGCATGTAGAATCTAGTATTGCTCTTTCTGTAATTTAAAAGATGAGAAACATTGACTTAAAAAAAAAATTTTGCAATACACTCCATGTAGTTTTGTAAAGCAAAATGATCCCAGAAGGAATGTTAACTCCTTGTAGTGAAACCCAGCTCCTTAATTTTTTATGTTTATTTTCTTTACCGTGTATCCAATGCTAGTCCGAGTTTCTTGTTCCAGAGGATGATGCTCAGGAGGCAACATTAGTCATATTTTCTTGCTCTAGAAAATGAAGCCAGGATGTTTTAAGATATTGATAATCTGGTCAACTACACCCACTAACAATTTTTTTGTTGCTTATGAAGTAATACAACAGGAATTGAGGGAAATATTACAAAGAAACCCCCAGGTGGGGCTCAAATTAAGACTAATAACACAAATTGTTAGTATCTTGGCATGTTAGGAGTTCTTATGAAAATTGTGCAAGAACTTTGATATCCTGTGGAACCATTAATTAATAAATGTTAAATTGATTGAGATAGGTCCTATCCAAAAAAGAAATTAAAAGAGAAAAAAAAAAAAAAGAAGATAAAAAGTAGGCTTTTAAGTGTCATGAATTTGTTGCTGTCATTGGCTTTTCAACATCACTTTCATCATATTAAAATTACTGGTAAGCATCAAAAGCAATAAATTTCTAATACTAGTGGCTAAAGAGTAATTAGGACTTAAAAATTTGCTCTGGAATAAATTCCTTGGTGGAGTTCATCTCTCTGTGGGGTGTATGCCTTCCAAGAATTGCTGCTTTGATCTCCATCAGGAGGGAATATGGACATCCTCAAAGAATTACTGGGTGGGTAAAGAAAATAAAGAAAAGATATCATCTAAGAAGTACATATCCTTTAGTGATCCATTCCAATTATATTTTGGAAAGCAAGAGTGAAAATAGAAATTTGCTCAAATTGCTGGCATTGGTTCCATAACAAAAGCTTCTAAAGTTAAATAAATAAATAAATAAAGCCTTCTGTATATTGTCATCAAATTATAGCTGAGACAACCTCTTGACTAGAGAAATTTTAGGACCTATTAGATGGGGAACTTCAATGTTTTGATAGAGGTATTCAATCTGCAGAATTCAGGTCAAATAGCACCATTAGATGAGATTATCCGACTGAAGGAGAAATATCGCTTCCGTGTTCTATTAGATGAAAGCAACTCATTTGGTGTGCTTGGAAAATCTGGAAGAGGTCTAACAGAACATTGTGGAGTTCCGGTATGTCTGCTATATTTGCAGGTTTCTCTTGTCATTAACTCTTTATTTGATTTTATGTGCTATTAATATTGTAGGTTGGGAAGATAGATATCATAACTGCTTCCATGGGACATGCATTAGCCACAGAAGGAGGATTCTGCACAGGAAATGCAAGAGTCATTGATCACCAAGTATGAATTTAGTTAACTAGAATTACTTTAAAGGGATCCTAATGCTGGAAAATTTTATTGGCTTCTTTTGACATTATTTATATAGTTGTGGATATTGATCCTTAATTTTCGTGGCTTCATACTCTAATTTCCTGGTATATTAGAATTACTTTAAAGGGATCCTAATGCTGGAAAATTTTATTGGCTTCTTTTGACATTATTTATATAGTTGTGGATATTGATCCTTAATTTTCGTGGCTTCATACTCTAATTTCCTGGTATATGCCATATTTGCAGCGTCTGAGCAGTTCTGGTTATGTCTTTTCTGCTTCCTTGCCCCCATACCTAGCAAGTGCTGCTATTACAGCTATTGATATTATAGAGGAAAATCCTGATGTTATCACCAAACTCAAGAAAAATATTGCTATGCTACGTAAAGGTTTGTTGTATCTTATTTGTTGTATGTTATATGTAGTTCTTAATATGTTTGCTATGATTATGTATTTCTGGCTACTATGTTCAATCCCTCTTATCAACTTTTTCCTCCACTTGAAAAACAATTAGCATCTCTTTAGGACTTGGCAAATATTATAGCTACTTAGGCATATATGTTATTTGGCGTCTCTTGTTGGTTGAACCTAGTCCAATTGCACTCAGTTTAAACCCACTCTTCCAGTGAAGAAAAATTCGTGGAAAAATCTTCTTAGATTGCTTTAAAACGATTGTAATCTACTAGCCAAATGATCCTGTAACTTTTAGGATCTATTATGTATACTGAAGATGCTGCTTACCAAGTTAGGGTCCTGGAGCTGTCTATTGATAGTTACAACATGGATAATACTTGTAGTGTTGTCAGTGGTCTTAGTTTTTGACTCTATATATCTCTCAGGATTGTCAGAAATACAAGGCCTTGAGATTGTAAGTGATGCAGAATCCCCAATTGTCTATCTCAGACTAAGACATGCTACAAGTTCTCTGAAGGAAGACCTACAGTTGCTTAAAGATATTGCAGACCGGGTAAGTCAGAGTTGTATGTTAGATTTCTTAAACCTAATATTTGGACATTGTTAGGTTTATGATTTTTGGTGTTACTGCAGGTATTGAAAGAAGATTCGATCTTTGTGGTGACTTCTAAAAGATCGACACTTGATAAATGCCATCTACCTGTGGGAATCAGATTGTTTGTTTCCGCTGGCCATTCTGAATCTGATGTGCTCAAAGCATCTGAGTCATTAAAGAGAGCAGCCGCAGCAGTGTTGGCAGGCAACAAATGAGTCACGCAGATCAGATCAGATGTCCACTTGTATTCTCATTGATCTTTCAAGCAATTTTTCAACAAGGAAACAACAGGAGAACCATCTTTGCCGGTTTCTGTTTTATGCTTTGTCAAACCTTTTTTTGTAGTGATGATATTCTTTAAATATGAAAGCAGGGTAGGGCAGTATAGATCATATGGTTTCTTGAAGCTGTAGCTTTCTTATAATGCTTTAGGAATTTGGTTTCTTGAAGCTGTAGCTTTCTTATAATGCTTTAGGAATTTGATTTATAGTCCCACTCGATCGATTTTGTGGATATCATTTTTCATGTATGTGATTTCATAATTTTGTATCTCCGATTGTGTTTTATTTCCGACCAAGTAGGGCTGGTGAGCCTTGGAAAGCAACTATTTCTGTAGGGAAAGCTGACAAGTTCCAAACCCCTGCCTCTGTTCAATGATAATCCATGTTCCTCGCTTGGGTCTCCCCACTTCATCTCCATCAATTGAACTCAGCCATTCCTCCAAGAGCCGCAAGACCAAATGTGAGAAAAGAAAGGGACAATCTGCAACTGAAATGAGAGGGAATTAATGGAAGGCAGTTGAAATGGCCTCATCCTTGTAAGAGAGGGATTGCATGAGAAGCAGATGGATCAAATCTATTAGTAAGTAAATAAATAAATAAAGCATGACAGGGAGATCATCTCCTTTCTGAAACAAATCTCTTTCAACATCATATTTGGTTAGCCTATCAATAAGTTGAATTTAAATTTGAATCTAAATTTAATTTGATTTGAATTGTAAAATTCAAGTCTAGTAAAGTATTTGATGAATTATATTTGATTATAAATATTTTTAATTTGAAATATATTATTTAAATATACAATTGAGTAATTTGATTCATTAAAAATATGAATTTAAATTTTAATAATATTTTTATTAAATTAATAATCTTATTTATATAATATTAGTAAAATGAAAGTTGTAAATATTAAATTAAGAAAATTAAAAAATTTAAAAATTAATATAATTGATAAGATAGAGTTAATAAAATTAAGTGCAATACAATATTATTTTTTTGTTAAATTAAATTTTATTATTGAATTTTAAATGATTTATTAAATTTAAATATAATTTAATAAATATAAATATTATTAAATTTTAAATTAAATTTAAATATAAAAATAATTAATTAAATTTGAATTGAAATTCATCTGAACTGATTCATATATTCAACAAGTTTGACAAATACATATTTGCTTTTGAACATGCTTCAATGATTTCACCGTCAATGAGTAAGTGGCCGCATGGTTTGCTAAGTAATTAAATACCAAACTCATCGTCAACGGTCAAACATTGGGTGGGGGGAACCTTTCCCCCTCCTAACCAGTGCAGTTCAGTACTCAATGGTCTCTCAATTATTTGGGATTTTTAATTTGGTCTTTTAACTTCAAATATTTGCAGTCTAGCGCTGTTGACTTGTAGTAATGTCATCCCTAGAATTGTCAATAATTGTTAATAAAGTAAATTTTAATCCGAATTTGGTTCAAATTTAATCTGATTATTTAACATCTTTAATTGATAAAAAATTTGATTGGTATAATTCAATTAAAAAAATTCATAATCTAAAATAAATGAAACGAATATATTATATTGCCCAATCTGATCTGTTAAAAATTTAAATCTGATTATATATATATATAATATGTCTTACATAAATACTATGCTATATATATACAATATATACATACACAACCATTATTGTGTTTCTATATTAATGAATTTTAGAAAATGTAAATAAGGTGTATCACAATTTAGTTTATAGAATTAAATAATCTTTGTTAGGAAAAATGTTTTAAATAGAAATAAATAATTTATATAATATAATCAATCTTAATATTTTGTTTTTTTTTTGTGATTGAATGACTCATCATTAATTTTAATTATTTAAGTTTCCTAGTATTAATGTTTACAAAGCATACTAATTACACACTTCATTTGTCATATATTTCCCTTTTTTGTCAGTAACTTTTGTATAGATAAATGAGATAATATTTAATATAATTTTGCATTAAGAATTTCTTTATTCGGATTCGGATTATTTTTTTCAATATCATTTTTTTAAAATTCAAATATAGCAATGCTAATCACAAATCTTATAGGATTTCAGATTGAATTTGGATATAATATATTATTATTGGATTTGTGTCACGACTCAAAAAAATGGATTTGTGGCCAGCGCAAGAGTTAGAATAAATTTCAACCTCGCAAACCTAACATATAACTTAACGTATAATTGAACCAAAAACTCATATAAAATCAGAAACAAAATTGAATCCAAAACATTAACCAAACTATCAATATATTTTGTAGAATCTGTTTGTAGTCAAATAAAGTCATGTACACAATCTAGAAATACAAATCTGATAGAACTGAAATGACTAACTTTTTCTGTTAAGAATAAAAATAGTAGAAACAAAAGACTCCTCTTAAATAACATAATCCAACCGAGTACCGAGCTCTAAATCTGGAAAAAAATAAGAAATGATTTGACAGACCTAGTGAATAATAATATCTATTTACGAGAATAAATGACATATATAATATATAAGATCAAGACATTTTACCATTTAACAAATATTTACTTTTTTCGGAAACTTTATCATATAACAAATCATTTACAAGTAGCAAAAATCTTTCAGTGTAACAAATCATTTACAAATATCAAAATCTTTTCAGCGTAGCAAATCATTTATAGATTTTAAAAACTTTATCACATAACAAATCACTTTAGATCTCAGTAATTTTAGGAAGTTCGTGATCTAAAATATGACATATATCAAAAACAAGACGTCGACACTTAGTCTGCCAGAAATTTGGATGACGATAACTCAATCTACCGATAAACGGGACGGTGACATATCAATTTGTTGATAATTAGGACGGTAACACACAGTCAGCCGGTAATCAAGACGGTGACATATCAGTCTGTTGATAATCAGAATAGCAACACACAATTTAACGAATAATGTAAATCAGAAAGTGGTATCCTCGTCTGCCCATATACACATGTAATAATCGAAATGGTGACACATAGTTTACCGGGTAACAGAACGGCAACGTATAGTCTACCGGATAACAAAACGGCGATATATCAGTTATGCCGATAAATAAAACAGTAACGTATCAACCATGCCGATAAACAGAAATCAGAAAGTCTAGCACCATTATCCCTGTTAGACGGGAACCTTGCATAGGGTATACTCAATTTAACGCTTACTGTCGTTAGTTATAGTATTTTAAAATCTGAAACTCCATTTAAAAATAGTTTTACATAAATAACAGAACAATTTAACATAATATTCCATTTTTTAGAATAAACAAAAACCATTTAACAAAAATTTCCAGAATTTAATAGAAACAGTTTAATAAGATTTTCCATGTATAGAATCAAATATAATTAACAGATATTCTTTTCCAAACAAATTTTAGAAATTTCATACATGTCCCTTGTTTCACTTTTAAAGTAGAATTTAATCAAATTTTCAAAAATCAAATATATCATAAAAAATCAAATTTTATAACAAATATGAAAAACAGTAAATGCTCATAAATATACATTATTACTCACAAAGCGACGAAACCAAAAAATCCAATTTCTAGCAACAAAGGCTCAACAAGTATTATACAAGCAAATCTAAAATTATAAAATAATAAAATATCTCAATTTATACCTCCAACGTATCCAAGAATCGTATAAATGAAATTTCCTAATCAAGGAATCAAATAAAATTTTAGATTTTTGTGTTTGAACCCATATTAGCTACTAAAGTTCCAAACTAGTCAAATAAGTGATGAATTGAGTGGTAAAACCTTGAATCGGATTCATAAAACATAAAAACTGATTTATTTTACACATAAACTAATCATTAAAGTGCTAAACCAGATTTGAACTATTCCTTAAAGTGTTGAACTAGTCATGATTTGGCCGCTAATATACTAAACTAGCCTTGAATCGCCCTTAAACCAGCCTTCAAGACATTGAATTAGACCTTTAACACACTAAACGGCTATGTAAGACACTGAACTGACCATATAACACTCTAAATCGAGCATACATGCACTGAACCGGTTATTTAACATGTTCAACAGGGCCAAAAACCAATGAATCGATGGTTTCAAAATCCTAACTCACTATTTTAAGCGTTGAAACGACCAATTTACCCTTAAACTGACATTAAACCAATTAATTAAATCATTAAACTAATTTATTTCAACTTGAACCAGAGATGAACCGGCGGCAAACTCCTTGAACTGGTTGATTTTTCATTTATTCCTCTATTTATTCATTATTTTATTTTATTTTCATTGTTACTATTATTATTTTTCTGGTCTAGCCCAGATTTGGACTTGGCCCAAAAATATTTATTCGGCCCAGGACCCTCCGGTCCAATCCTCAAAATTCTAACAGGTCACAGGGTGGCCCATGGAGCTGCAACCCAATCCAAGGCCTATTAACCCACAACCCATTCAACTTCTAGCCCCAAGATTCAACTGCTAAGCCCGCAGGCCTGTATCTGGTATGGGCTTGGCCTAACCAGTTTCCAGCCCATTTCAAATGCGAGCCCAGTTCGAAGAATCCAAGTCTTTCACAAACCCAACTAACTATTCAGGTCTAATCCCTACAACCCAACGTCCAACCCAGAAAAACCCAAACGTGCGTACCTGGATAAGTGGCTGAGAATCACATTGAAAGTGGCAAAATGGCTGTCGTGATGCTCTGAGCAGTTTGTGACGACTGCAATCTGGTGAGATTATTTTCCAGAACTGGCCTGTTGAGTCAAATTTTTCTTGAAGGTCGAATAGCTATGGCGGATGACCTACGGAAGAAAACATGGAAATTTTCGTATGCAGAAGGCGATTTGGAAGAAATTTTTTTGAGATTCTTGTACTATTAGGGTTGATTTTTCCTTATATGTGCTTAAATTGAAGAAAATTTCACAAGTCTCTTGTAGATATAATCGGATCACAGCTAGGATCCTGGAAGGAAGATTTGGGAACGATGCCTAAATCAGACATTTTTTACTTTCAATTTTAGTCCCCAAATTCACGATTTTCTAAATTTAGTCCATACTCTTTTCCAATTATTTCTATTCAGACCCCTTTTAGTCCTAATTGATTCAACTAGGCCTTTTATTGTTTTCAAAATTTTAATAATATTTCAAAAATTTGGAGTATTACAATTCAGATCTGGATCTACTATCATCGATCCAAATCTGATCCATTG